TAGTAGCGATGGCCTCCACCTAATAGCGTCCTTGTTACTAGTATCTTTTTGTTGCTAGTATCCCTGACTCGCAGTTTTCCAAGCGATTGTCGACGTCGCCTCGCTTGCCTGAAGGTCTAGAGGTCCAACTCCCAGAGGCCGATCGCTTCTCGAAGTCTGATTTGATCGCCTTGCCCTTGGGTGCCAGACCATCCACTGAAGCTTTACCAGTGCAGCAGTGGCCCAATGTAGACTACCGACTCATCCTGAAACAACTGATTCGCTGGCCGACCTCTCCCACTACTGAGAGTCCAGAGAAGCTGCTTCCGCTCTGCCCGCTTTGTGCTGGGGTTGCCTTCTACCAAGGAGCAGGCTTCACGCGATCTGACATCGCGACAGGTTGGCAGAGCTTCATGCTAGGAAATGTGGGATCATCCCAACATCCGCTCCTTAGCACGTTGCTGGCCAACATGGGAGTCCCTGCCCATTTAGCACCGCAAGTGCTTATGCAGCTACGTCCCAGCAGTGATTTCCAGGCCGAGCTGGAACAGCAGCTGGATGAGGTGCCTGGCCTTGAACTTCGCCATGAGGAAGCCCATGTCATCGATGGCTTTGGGACCTTATGGCGTGGGCGCAGCTCCATGGCGCAGAACATCATCAGCCTGTCCCTTCCTTGCCATCGCTTGTGTATCTCAGGGAAGACCGTAACGGAGTTGGGAGTGGAGACCTTCTTCTGTGAACAGGCAGGCTCCAAACAATGATCATCAGCGTAAAGTTTCCAGTTCTCACTTCTCACAGCAATCTATCATCGATACCTCCCCGGTAGGTAGGATAGTCAGCAGGACTGATCCATTTGATGCCCTTGAGGTGAACAAGACCGCCAACACATCACGAACTCGCGTGGGGAGGTATTTGGACGATCAACCTGCTCGGATGCCACGTGCACATGTGTTTGGGCTGTGCCACAAGCCTTTGTTAGAAGACTTGGCTGCCATCCTGACCTCCCAGCCAAGCCCTTCCGAGCCCTGTCCCTTCTGCGGCGCTCATGGCTTCCTACTGCGGTCAGAGGCAGTGAGCCTTTTGGAAGCCGAGACCGGTGGTGAAGAGACGGACAAGTCAACACCCTTCCACGGGAGTTTGTGGCTTTGCGGAGATCACTTGTGGGGCTGGAGGAGTCGCCGTGCTGGAGTCCCTGTCACCAGTTGTCACTCTTGATTCGCATCAATGAAAAGAGTCGCCGCACGGTGAGGTGAGCGCCACCAAACACCTTTTTTAGTTTTGAATCCCAGCCCGGCCCTTTCTTGCAGAAAGCAACTAGCAAAAGCTTCGCTTGCACAGTTCTAGTACGAAAAGGCCAAACAGCATGAAGCAGCAACTCTCCCTTCAGAACATTGGTTTGTGCTGCCTTTAAGTGGCCCTGCACTTGGCAAAGGGTTTCAAGCGTCTGAGGAAGGGACCAGCTTGCAGAGCAGGCACGCAGCCTCCATGGTTCCAAGCTCGGGGGAACGAAGGGAAATGCTACCGAAGATGACCTCAGACAGAGACATCTCTTTTGTCATTCATTAGACTCTCAGCTGTTGAACTTTCAAATAGACCAAAGATGAGCCTCAGGCCTCAGCAATTGCATGCTTTCGGTTTCTTTGCGTGTAATTTTTGGCTTTTGTTTCGCACTCTGAGGTCCCGGCGACAGAAGTGCGAGCATTAACCAATGCCGTTCTGGAATACAAGACGAACGTCGAAACCAAGGTAGGCAAACACCCACAGCCCACCCATCACACCGCACCCTCCTTGGTGGGTTTAGAAGTTCGGTGCTGCAGACAGAGCCTGGGCATAGATTTGGATGTCTTCATCAAGAAGTGTGTGCACTTCTGGCAAGCGAGTTGGCCATGGTCCTTGTACTTCTCTGCTTCCACACAAAGGACATGGGTCCTTAGATGTCAGTGTGGATCAAAACTAAGCCACGCCATGCCTTCCATTTCTTCATTTCTTTGGGTACTGACTATGCAGCAACTAGAAGTCTTGCGGTCATGTTTTTCACAAGGAACATCCACTTGTGGCACAGTCGTTGGCTTTGTCAATGTCGATAGGTCAATACAATCACCTTCCAGATCCAGACCGTCACGGAGGCCATTTGATCACTTGAGAAATCGGTTCCCGGCCATGAGTGCAAATTTGGCTGCAAAACCAACCGGCTTGGTCTTAGTTGCTTGAGTACTGCTTGTAGCCTTGATCCATCTTCGCACCTTCGCACCTGCAGGTTCAACAAGGAGGCGGAATCATCATCGAAGGGCCCTTGGGGTTTGAATTTCCGAACCCTTGTCAACCCCAGGCAGGCAAAGTGCTTTGATCTTGCGCTCCTGTGTTTGGAATGATTTTGGCATGCTGCTTGTATGCTGTTGGACGTTGGCATGTCTCTCATCCCCCAAAGTTCTTGGCCGGGCTACGGCCCGAGGACTTTGAGTCCCAAACTTGGCCTCTTCATTAGTGGTCAGTAGATTATTGATGTGTTAGTCATCCTCAAGTCCATGGATCATGGTCTTTAGTGGGGATGTTTCCGATTTCGTCATCTACTGGAGTTCCTGAAGCTGCTCGGCCAACTAACGCGGTTCTGGCCTGCCAGCAGGCTGCATCGATGGCAAGAGGATCGACTTATCAAGTGGAGCCCATGGTCTCCAAAGTGATGAGGCTTGATGTGACAGTTCTTGGCAATTCAGTTTTTGAGGTCATGATTCTGATTCTCCCTGAAAAGAACATCTTTCTTTCAACCTCAGTAGCACGCTCACGAGTGCTCCAGTTCACCTGAATCCTGGCGGCGAAGTCACCCGTGGTTTCACTCCGATGCCGCCCCGGCCAACTGCGCCTGAGTTTGCCGATGGATGTGGCCTGCACCTTCCAGATGGGCACAGCGCCGATGGGACGGTCAGTCATCAGGCCGGGCGGCTGAACGGCCATGGGCGTGGGCACAGGTAGTTGTCCCCTCCTGAAAAGGTATGCCCTGGCAGGCGGCAAGGACAAGAATGAATCTCTATATAGTGGAAGCGGCACAAAAGAGCATGGGATATATATATATATATAGCGGAAAAGCCCTCCCTACCGAGGGAGGTGAACGCGCGGGCTCTTTCTCCTCGAGCTATGAAAGGTCCCTGGCGTGCGTCACGTGTGGACTCTGAAACTGCTAAAACTCTAAAATCAAAAAGGCGACTGGAGTAGGGTGCTTCCGGATTCCTCAATCTCATAGTTCTTCGTCGAACAACTCCAATCTTTTCAGCTCAACACCTGCAGCCATCTCGACCTTCTGTCATCGCCTATAACTTGCGGACCGATGAGGTTCCGGGGTATGTCGTGTGGTTCTCTTCATCGATCTCGGTCACCGCCGTGAGATAGTCCACCAAATCCCTCACCATGGGGGTGAGATTGTCTCGATGCCGCTGGGACACCATCCACCGGCAGTACGACTGCTTCTCACGATCGGTCGAGGAGCTGAGTTCCTCGTATGACAAGTTCGCCTTCCCGAACTTGCCCGTCTCGATCAGGGTCTTTCCCCAAGTGGCCAGGGTGTCAATGCCTGGAGGAAAAGAGACACTGCCTTGGCCAGACTTCTGGCGAGCCGCTGGCATGGCCTTGGCATAGGCGATCGAGGCTGGAACCTCACCGGCTGTCTCAGCCGTGAGGCGACGCTTGCTTGCGTCAGACATAGTCCCGGACTCATCTCGAATCCTCTCGGGAGATGCAGCAACCATCTCAAACTCGAGCTCTCCATCCTTCTCCAACTCATGGAGAAGAAGGCCAGTGAGACCTTCGGCTTTCACCTGGTCTAACAAGCTCTTCAGGGCTGGCGACAACTTCGGGCGCGTACTAGTCATTTTGACTAGGAGGAAACTGCACACGGGTGTCAACTGCTTCGAACAAAAGGTGTGCTTCAGAGTCAAAAACAACGCTTCTACGATATCGAAACGCGACGAACATGCCGAACACCACTGTGCTCGCACAGTGTACCCCTTTGTGCATTGCAGTCTTTGTGTAAATACTGAAAAACAGTCTGACCCTCACAAAAACTCATCTCAAAAACACTCACCATTGAATTCTTCACAGCTCTGGTGGAGGTTGTTCATCACACTTGGAGGGAGTTTCTTTCTTAGCCCTCCGGAGTTCTTTTTCATGAGCCTGGTATTCCAACACTGTTTCTTCGGGAGATATCTGGTAGCTGGAGCGACGAATGCATCCTCTCAACAGGTCTATGGGATCCCCTTCATCTTTAGTGAGGCCATCAGCTAACATGCGGTTTGTCGGAACCCATCGAACATGAGCTGTCATGGCACGGCAGCTCTCACGAATGATGACGATGTCAATGCTCGCGCGACGATCATTTACTGCAGTAGGTGAAGATGGAGAATGAAGATGATCGTACAAACTCTTGCAATCGGAGACGATGATCGGCCTTCGTCTTTTCAGGACATCACGACAGGTGCGGACAGTCAGAGGTCCATCAAGGATCTCAGCGAGCATCAACAACACCCATTCCACTGTGCCGGTGGCTGTTGACAAGGCCTGACTTTCTGCTCCCAAGGTGCTACTGACTGCTCTAGCTAGCTTGTAGCTCTTCCAAGCTGCAGGACACCAATGGGCTTCATGACCATCTTGAAGCTTGTTCTCAGTGAATCCTACGATATAGCCTGCTTGAGTGTGATTTCCCCTGTTTGCGAAAGCAGCATCACTATTTGATGGAAGGAAAGGTCACACCCATTTGACTGTTCTGCTTAGCCCTGCGGAAGTCTTCAATCCGCGGACGAGGAAACGCCTGTTGCGACAGGCTTGTTTGCACACATAGGTCCGGTCGGGCCTGAGAGGACAACCAGTTCAGACTTCCGTTCACTGCTCTAAGAATCTTGACTTGCGAGGCTGACAGTGGATCATCCGGTTTTGTGTTCTTGGGCACATTGATGGGGCGAAGCTTGTCCGTGAACAATTCCATACTCATGTGTATCGAGAAGTCGGAACCTTGGTTGTACCATGCGCCACAGAACTCTCCTCTCCATTTTCTATATGGGAACCGTTTTCGAATGCTTTCAATGGATTCTTTGAACATCGGACCATGGCCGCCTACGGCGGTATCGTCGACGTGCACTCCCATGATACCCACGAGCCTTAGAACACTCTGGCACTCTGGTGCCACCCTATCGATTTGACGAACCCGCTAAACTCTTTGAACCATGCGGACGGGGCGTCGTTCTGTCCGTAGACATTTCCAGTTATCTCTATCACAGCGTCCGAAGGAAGTCCAGGGATACCACCAGCTGGCTGGTGGGCGAAGAGCGGGCGGAATTCATCACTCAGGGGCCGGCCTCGAGGAATGCTCCTTTTGTATCGCCGAACTGAAGCTCCCACTTATGTGATGCTATCGTTTGCATGAGGCGCATCCTGCCGAGTTGACTAAGTGTCGGAGACTTCAACATACCGAGTTCTGCCTTGGCGGACAAATCGGGATCCAAGTGGCCTTGTAGGCACCACCGTCCTTTCACGGTGAACGCGTTCAGATCTTCAGGGTTCACCTTGGCCTTCTTCGATCGGTTTTCGTGTCAACGCAAACCGGCTGCCTATGAAACGATGTGCTTGGGTGTCCTTGATTTCTTGGGCCCTCTTTCCATAGTGAATCTTCACAGCATGGGGTTTGGACGAAATGGTGTCCCATTCACTTCGTTTTCCCATATCTACCATTTTCTGAAGATCAGGGGGATTGCGACTGTGAGGCAATTCCTTGGAGACCTTGCGTTGGAGGTACTCTGCCATGAGACATTCCCACGGCTGAGATTCAGCAATGTCCAACAGGTCAGACACGGCCTGAACACTCAAGGATTCATCACTAGGCTCTAACCGAGGCCGAGAGGCCGCTGGCTCAGACGCTTCCATTGTGGGCGAACGAGGTCGTTTGCTTTGTTCCATACATGCATCTTCAACCAACTGTTGGCGCGACTTCTTTGATTATGTCTACGAAATCCTCTTGTTTGAGCGCAGCTGGTCGCCACAGGGAGAAGGGACCATCTTTTCCAGTCACCCTACGACGAATTGGCCCATACGACGAACTTGATTCGTCTGGTGCGGGCACGGCATCTGATTGTTCCACCTCCGGAGAGACCGCTTCAGGACCCTGATTTTGGCTAATCATTGGCTCTTGTGGTTGATCAGTGAGCACAGGCCTCGCTGCGTTCTCTGGAGGATTTACAGCAGGGGTGTCTTCATCTTTCAGAGACATTGAGGGTCCGGCTTCATCACCTTGTGGAGGGTATGACTGAGGCAACAGGTCGATATACTGCTTACTTGATAGGTTACCTTTCTCTATCATATCCTTGATTCCCAACAGTTCGGCTTGAGGAGTGGCGATCAAACACTTCTCTTCACTGGTGGCGTGTCGGACCTGTTCAGGGGCACAGCGAAAGATCTGGCGGCGACGCGCAACTATGAGATTGCGACCCACATGCTAGCACTACTGCTACTCCGTACCATTGACCACCGTTTTGCAAGGTTCCGTTTACCCATTTCTGATTACGCCAGTATGCGGCAAGATCACCTGGACTGAATGGCATGGTCACTCTGGGTCGAGCAAGGAAGGCCACTCTAAGGGCTCGATCATCCTGCATTTGGATGAGAGCTTGTCTAGCTGCTGTTCTCATGGCTTGAGATCGGGCTAGGCCTTCATCAGCCAGAGAAGCTGTGGCTGGAACTACATCTAGTGGCTCGTTCAGAAGATCTTGGGCAATATGGGGGTTTTTCCCAGACAAATTGATGCGGCGACAACCCATGAACCTGCAAGTGTTGATTCTTCACATGTGCATGTGCCACACACTCCAACCATTCGGCTTGCGACGTGGGAGAAAAATCATCGATGAGCTTGTCCAAGATCTGACCAAACCAGCCTCCATGAGATTCGCACTTGCCGAGTTGCCAGTGAGCGCCCGCGGCGATTGGTCGGATCTGTGACCCTTCTAGTTCGGCAGGGATGACCATGGGGTCTCCGAGGTTGGTCTTTGCAGGGTCTATGCTCACTGAACAGGCGTCGCAGGAGTACGGCTGTTTCCGTTTCAGAGAACGGAACCACACGCTGAAAGCCACTGGCAGTATCCACCACATTCAACGCTAGGCCATTGAGATGCTTTACATCGAGTCCTACCTGGTGATTAAACGTAGTCACCCTATGTGTCTGTGACGGCAACGGCACTTTGGGCTTAACCTGGCTTCTGCAGAATTCACAGGAAAACTCTCGGGCGAGCCTGAGAGCTTGTTCGCTGGCTTGTCCATGACGGAGGATTCTCACTAAATCACAATTGGGAGGGTGACCCAGGTTACGATGCAGTTTGGCTAAAATCGGAACCAGCTCTTGGTCAGACTTGCCCTGAACTTGGTGCGCTGCACACACTTCCACAGCCGGCCATTGATCAGCCGGAAGCATATCCTCAATGACTTCAATCATGCAGACTTCGGCTGACTCAGAGACCTCATTGGGGGTGTGACCAACACTTGTGGACCAACTAGGCAAATGAGTTAGCGCTGCACGGACAAAGGGTATGGGGTACGCTCCTACGAACTTGCTAACACTCTCAACTCCTGGTGCACTTCCAGCTACGATATCATGACATGTATGGCTTCCGGTCTTATGACACAATAGCCCCAGTGTGCACATCGTATCGTGAGACAGGAGCAGGCGAGCGCTCTTGCGAATGAACCTGTCAGATTCAGGAAGTTTCAGTCCGTACCTGCACAGGTGAAGCTTGGTGCTAAAGAAACGACGACACAGTGTTTGGATCTCTGGGTATGACCATGTTCTTGCTCCTGTGGGATGTTCGAATAGCACCTTACATCCTAATTGAACCCCTAGGCGAAACAGTTTGCAACACCAACGGATGTAACTTCGACTCACGGCCATGCGTTTCAACAGTTCGAGGCGATCCATGCGTCGACAGTTCAAATTGAACCAGCCTCCCTCATCCGTGCACGGAGGACACAGGATCAGCAACTCAGGAGGGTCTTGGTGAAGGTCAGTTTCCACCCTTCTCCTGTCGGTGGCGCGACGGAAGTCGAACCCTGTGGCTAGATCATACGACCGGGCCTTAAGTCCATGCTTTTGTACCTCTATGGCGAACCGAGGCGGCGAAAACACTTCCATGACCATGCATCGCTCGGACGAGTGTTTAGCTAATACAGCGCAACATGCTTTGGCATCGTGTTCGAGGCGACGCTGTTTGTGAGCCGTGAATACTTGACCTTCTGGTTCAACCTCCATGGAACCTACATACTCGAATTCAACTCGAGTGAGGCGACGAATGCTCTTGATCGCGGATGGCCAGGGATGACCACACTATCATCTATCACCTGTTTACTCTCTTCATCAAACACCCTTCTCCTACGAATCCATATCCATGGGGGGCTCGACCTAGATAGCCAAGGTGTGGAAACGAATCACTATGCTCTTGAACCCACACACGAACCGGTTCTGGACGGGCCTCAGGCACTGGATCATGCTCCATGGATGACTGATCGGCAGGCATGGGCGGCGCATCGGGTTCGTCGTGTTTTGAACGGTCGTCTTCACCCTCGGACTCCGGCTTAGGCTCCAGAGCCATGACTTCGGTGAAGGATGCTGCGTGCGAACTCTCTTGTTCCCCCACTAGGTTCACAACATATTGACCAGCGCTGTTTGTTTGGAGGGGTACCGTGGTGTCAAACACTTGCAAACAGTCACGTTTGAAGTCCAGTGAAGCTCCAAGGCGCTTCAACGCTAATCGACTGATCAACAGGGGTGCATCTCCACGGATGATGGAAGCACGAATCACACCCCGCTTTCCAGCCAACACCACCGGCATCTGGATCGCGAATTGCGATGTCTCGACAGCCCCATTTCCAAACTTGAACTGATGAACCTCCGGCAGGCGTTCAGGTACAGACCAGCCCCGCTGGCGCCAGAGCTGCTCGAAACTCCGGAGAGTGGACTGTCCCACAATGGTTCGACCGCAGCCTGAGTCCAGAACACCAGCAAGACGGAAGACGCGTCAGGGGTATCTCCCACAGGTGATTTCCAAGCAAACTGCAACCGGGCACGCTCCAACAATGTCAATGTTGTTCCGACGGATGCAACTTGCGCAACAACCTGCTCAATGTAATCACCTGTTGTCAATGTACCGACTTGCTCAATGTAATCAACTGCTGTATCAACTGGCTCAATGTAGTCAACTGTTGTCAACACATCAACTTGCTCAATGCATTGCTCAATGTATGGAACCGGAGTGACCATGGCCACAAAATCAAAATCCTCAACCACAGCTGCGCCGGACGTGGATCCGGTGGAGGTGGTCACCCTTCCCAGCTTCCTTTTTGACATCACGAGCCCGACATTCTCGAGCCCAATGTCCCTTGCAACCACATCGATTGCAAGTGGAGTGTCTCTTCATCTCTTCAACCTCCACCCGAAAAGATCTCTTGACCTCCTTGGCCTTGGCGAACTGTCTGGTCTTCTGCAGTCGGTTCAGCTCTTGTCGGCGCTCTTTCCAAGTCGCCGCCAGGACCTCGGCCACCTCTGCTTCCTGGAAGGTGTCAGCATCGGCAGGAATGTCGGAGCCCTCTTGTTGGTGATCCTCCAAGAGTGAGAATTGTTCTTCCCAGTACTCAGCTTCAGCGTCCGGCTCAGCCGGAGTATCTTCAGCCAATGCCACGGCTGTCCGCCGTTTGCTAATCGCCAATTCAGGGTAGCAAGACCTCAATGCAGCGGCGACGGACTCCCGCTTGAGGTCTCCTCTGGCCCGAGCAATGACCACCGCTTTCTGCTCCTCAGACAGTCCAGCTCGATGAAGCAACAACCAGCCCCGGGCCTCGTCCGGGAACTGAACACTTGTCTTTCGGTGACATTTGTCAAACAGGTCAGATGCTCTTGCAGTCCATTGCTTCATCGTTTCTCCCTCTTGAGACCGAATGCCAAAAACCTGGCCCAAAATCTCACCCAGCTCATCCACCACTTCCAACTGAGGGAACCGCTTGTCCAACAAGGCCCAAAGGACTGCATCGCCGTCCTTCTTCTGGTAGGCCTCAGGCTCCAAATGCTCCACGGCCTCAAGGGCCTTGCCACTCAGCAGGGTGTAGATGTATGCTCCTCGGGAATTTTCCGGGAGCTTGTCCAGCGTGAGAAACTTGTTTTGCGCCCAGGTCTTCCATCTTTTGTACTCTCTACCATCTTCATTCTCTCCTGAGAACCCCTTCACGAAAGCCGACTCTCCAGCCTGCGACTAAGACGACGCCATCCAGCGTCACGTGTGACGGCCCCCACCAAGGGGCCCAATAACCATGTGCGGGAGCGCGGATTGGTACCGGGCTCCGCTACCAATAGCGGAAAAGCACTCCCTACCGAGGGAGGTGAACCCGCGGGCTCTTTCTCCTCGAGCTATGAAAGGTCCCTGGCATGCGTCACGTGTGGACTCTGAAATATATATATATATATAAATGATGACCATGACTATGCTTCCAAGAGGCTTTCTTATTTTTCTTCCATTAGCCATCCCTCAGCTCCCACATCACAGCTCAAATGAGAGGTCAGGTTTTTTCCCGATCAAGGAGACTGGAAGATGGATGCCTGACACTGTGACAGTTGTTGTGAGCTCTCAGACCCTGCACAGAACATGTAAAGGGCCCCTTCTGACTTGCTCCACACCCTCACACTTCTGAAGGCCTTGTGTAGATGAGCTTGCTTGTTGTAAATCTTCAAGACCTTCTGGAGCACCAGGATAGCTGCTGGAGCATCAGGCATGGCGTCCGGGTTCCTCAGTGTGGAAGCACACATGCGTCACCCACAAAGCCCCTTGCTCTGGATCCAGCCATCAGAACTTGTAGTAGGTCAAAGCACATTCAACTCAATGCCTATCACCAAGAATGATATGTATCAAAAGACACATAGCTTCGAACCAATGATATATATATATATAGTATATATAGTACATTTTATTACAAAATTTACATATATTATATTATGTTTTGGACATCAACACACCATCCATGCTCCAAGCAATGCAAATACCAAGGAATTAGACACCCAGAGCCTCAAAATGTTGCCTCAAAACTCTCACTAAAGTGCTACAAAATACCAGCAGACCGAAACTCGGAGCTTCAAAGTGCTGCAAGCACCACCAGCCTACACAAACACAACCAACGAATTATTTGAGATGTCTCAGTGGATTGTGAGTATTCTACCTGCCCCAAAACTACCTGAGAGACAGCATGCAATCAGGCCTGGGCTGTATCGCTTCCAGATCTTGGGCAAAAATCCATCGACTGTGACTTGCTTCGCACAGAGATCCGGTGAGTACATGTGAGTATGACAGTCTGCGGACCCTGGCATTTAATGAGTCCAGTCTCTGTGAGTTCCGAACTGTGAAGCAAATCCTCAATACTTGTTATATTTATCATTGCGTGTCATGTATACACATTGAATTTGCTTGTTTGGCATTTTTGTCAAGACCGGAGACCAGGTGATGCCAAACCCCGTTGACAACAGCAAGCTTCTTCACTGCACATGGGGATGGCTACAGTTTGCGTATGGCCTTTCCGAACGGGGCTTTAATCACAGCATAGCTCAAAGCTACAGTAACAGCTACAGCTATAGTCTATAGTATATTCATAGCAGGGGTGCTTCCGCAGTTTACTGTTTTATCAAGAGACCACTTTTTTGTTTGAACGCGAGCTTAGTTTAAGTAGTATCAAGAGGAACATACTGACCTCCACACTGCCTCAGGCCCTGCATGCGGCAGCACTGCTGGGATTTCCACTCACTAGAGGCACAAGCTTTGACGGGTTCTCCCTTTTATAAACGATCAGTTTCGATTTGATTTAGGAGGCCATCGCTACTAGGTTGTAGGTTGGAGGCCATCGCTACTATATAGTAGCAAGAAGCTAGTAGGTAGCTAGCTGCTGCTTTGTGATTCCAGGATCTCAACAACATGAACTCACGCCTGGACGCCATGATCAGCGTGCCATCCTTCACCATCAACTCTAAGATGGTCGAGGCAATGTTCGCGAAGCCTATTCCACATGGCCATTCCAAGCTATTTCTTTTTTGTTCCCAGTCTCCAGTGGATGCCTGTCTTCAGTCTGGATGAAGGGTCTTCGAAGGTCAAATGATCCTGAGAGGTCACCCAATTCTCGTTGTCACCGTTGTCACCCGACATGGCTTCCTTTCTGCAGAACAACAGGCGCTCCTCCCGACCATCACCCGGGAACAGCAAGCGCGAGCCTTCAGTCGGACGGGGACGCTGACGAACGGAAGCGCCGTCACTCTTCGAGTCTGAAAGAACCTTTGCCGTCTGAATCTGACCTCTAGAAGCCTCCAGAAGCTACTAGGGGCACGTGGCCTTACTACTAGGAGCAAAGAAGCTACTAGTAACAAAGGGCATCGCTACTAGAAGCACTAGGACTAGAAACACTAATTAGGTTCCAAAAGAAATAGAAACAACAAACACCCACGCATACGAACATGGTGTGTAATCAAGAGTACTTTGCTTCCTAATGCTTCGAAAGGGACAAAGTGAGTTTCACACCATTTGACACCCAGATATATATATATATATACATTGGATGCCAAATCTACCATGCCACCATGCATAAGGCTGCAAGTCTGCGGGATGCCGGAGCCTGACCAACCACTCTCAGGGCTCCCAAAGGTTGGTGGTGGATTGAGCTTTGCAAGGTCTGCTGATGGCTAGTTCAGGCTAGTCATTTGAGTCAAGACGCTCTAAACTGCACAATCGTGGCCAGTCGCAAAGGAAACTACATTTCGGTACTGACCTGGATCTATATTTTTGTAGGTATGTAGATGTATATAGATTATATAGAATGTTTAGGGATGGATGCACTTCGTTTGGCGTGCAACCTTCTCAGATTCGTGGTGATCAGCCTGTGTCAGAGTTCAAAAGCTGCTGGGTATCAGGAACGAAAGCTGAAATGAAATACTTTGCAATCCTTTTGACTTTGGTCCTATGCCCATATCATCTGATTAATTCTGATATGACATGCACAACTGCTTCAACGTCCATTCAGCTTCCGTGTGTCAGCTCTTTTGCCGAGGACCGGCCCAACAGCCGAAACCCGCTGATATTTGCGCCTGAGCCTTGGAAGTCATGGTCAAACGCTTGAAGCTTTCAAGCGCCAAAGTCGGCGCAGCATCAGCTTTATTGTTACTAGTAGTGATGGCCTCCACCGGCCTATTTGGTGCCAAGGTTCAAGTTGGCGAACACGGTAGTTCTGCCTGCAGACATGCTCGTCAGGCAAGGAAGGGCAGCTGCTAGTTGATCGCATGCTTTGGACAGAGCAGTACAGTAGATAAAGTGTCAGGAAAAAACCACGCAGGTGGTCCATTCTTATTCTGCATCAGTAGACATGTTGGTTTCCAGGAAGTGCACAGGCGCAATCTGATTTGTGTCACAGGGGGCCTTTGGGGACGATCTTCCGTGAAGACTGCGGGGAGGATGTGGAGGTGCGTCCCAATGAGGCCGGGTGCTGCAGGTGCTTCCCATTTCTTGGTGGAGTGGATCTAGGATTGCTTTGCTCAGGTCATACTGCAGGTTGATTCTGCAAGCAGTTTCAATCTTAAGGAAGTCTACAGTATCTCTCATGTGCAAGTCGCAGGTTTAGCTATCAATTTACATCCTCATAGACTCATAAACTCATAGATAACTGGAAATGGGACATTTGGTTGCCTCGCCTACATGCCTCCAGGTCTTTGGCACTGGCCAAACTTTGCCTTCGGAGTGCCCCAATGCTCACCAATTAGAAACATGAATGTTGAACGAGGGGATTGTGTGGCACAAAGTCTCAATGCAGCAGGACAGCATCTCTAATCCCTGCCTCAGGTATGCTCAGTGGCCGCAGGGTGTTGCAGTGGTGAGCTGCAGAGGGGAAGGACCAGATGCAAGGACCGAGATCCTTCTCCTCATAGCTGCAACCTGCTTGAGATCAAACATTGGTGACCACGACAAAGTCCTCGGCTGTTTGGCTGAAGCTGACAACCGCAGGATCTTGATAGACCCGGGAGTCAGCGACGGTGCACCCCTCAGAGATGGGGAAGCGCCTCTGAATGAGCAATCTCCCAAGCTCCCCTTGAACTTTGAGTAGGAACAGTGATAGTGATACCTTCAAAGTTGATAGTTGGCCCAAAATCATCCCCAATCAATGTTCTCAACAATGACACGGATTAGTGGTAGAGATGTTGGTAGCGTAGATCGGGGTACCGATAAGTGCACACGCTGCAGGTCTGTTGAGGGAGCTGTTCTACCCGATCCGGGTAGCACCGCTGCACAATCCAACGACACAGCCTCTTGACAACCAGCGCGGGCCGCCAGCAGTGGCTTCCAGTTCAGTCCTGGTCCTGCCTCTATTGATTGCTGGGCTGAGCAGCTGACCCACTGAACTGAAACGGAATGGTCTCAACCCACCACCTTCAGGGTCTTAATTTGCAGCTCTTTTCATTAGAATCAACACCAACATTGCATAATTGTCCGCCCTGCACGGCCGCAACGGCCTTACGCGGCCCTGTGGAAATGGCAACACTGAGGTGGACCCTCGACTTCAATGGCGAATCCTCTGATCCCTTCGAGGGTTTTATGCTGTGGACCTTCACCAGGACCGAACTGATAACCTCAGAGGCTGAACACAGCACCTAAGTACAGTTTCACTGCTTTCATTTAGATTCATGTTGTTCTTGACTTGTTGGGATTTGAGGGGCAAGACTCCAACGGACAATTTTTCACATGAAGTTTCCGTCTGTGCGAGGGCGTCCTTGTTGACTGCGACTACTGGGCGATCCACAACGGTCACAGGGGAACCGTTCTTTGTGAACCCTGTGTGGCACTAAGTGCTGCTTGAAAGTCACGGGAGCATAAACTGCTTGGAGGAGATGGAGTGACAGTAAATAGGACGAATCTAGATCAAGTGACTCAGCATGACTCAGCCATGTTGAATTGTGCATGCATCGAACGTTTTTGGAGGCCTTGGCATCTTCTTTTGTCAGAAGAATATAATATGAGCAATGATCTTGGCAAAGGGCTTTAGACCGTCATGACCTACCTACTGAGTCCACACACCTGGGCTTGGGTGACTTGAAACACCCCCCATGCAAAGACAGACTCTCGGCTGAGGTCACCATCACCTTCCGTCCCAAGAACACGGTCAAAGGCTTCTGGGTTATATTGATAATATTGTACGTACCTTTCACTGGAGCATTGCCCGCACTTTGCATGCACGTACAAGCTCAATATCGGATATGTGCACTGTTTGACCTACTAGCTACCGTACTACTAGTTTTCAAGGTAGTTTTTGGGACAATGTATTTCTCTACAGAGCAGCATAGCTCTAGAGCCTTTAGTTGTGTCAGACAACTGACAACGATGTATTTCCGACTTTCCAACGGAGTCTCCAATCATCTCGCGAGGCGCCGGAATGATCATCCAGGCAAGAGATCCATCCGCTCGTGAACGATCTATCCATCCTGTTTTGGTTTGTTGCGAAAGAGTGGAACATGAACGAGAAAGGAGGAAGGTAAGGGTCTCTTTAAAGTGGCCTTATCACAGGGGCGGCTTGCCTTCCTTTTTTCTCCTCTCTTTTTCTTTCCAGGAGGACTAGTCAGCCAGGACAGGTGAAAGTGGTGAAAGTAATTTTGTCTGATGAAGATGGACAAAAGAATTCCGCCGAAGTTAAACGGTCAGAGTTGTTTTTGGGTGCTTATTTTTCCATACAGGGGTAGCTTCATGACATTTGCCATACTTAGAACTGCTACTACTGGCACAATCAAAGGAAGGTTTTGCAGTTTTTTTGCCTGTGCTGCACTGCCAACCCAAACCCAAACGGGGCTCCCTGGCAATCGAAGGAGGTTTGCGAGGAGCTCGGGATTAGGCCATTGTCATCATCCCCCAGTCTAGTCCGCGCGGGTGCAACCTTTTCTGCGTTCCAGCACTGGATCAAACCGAGAAGAATCGTCTCGGTTTTGGGTGTCACTTCTACATGTTCGATCAAATTCTTCTCAGCCATGTTGCAAGCAGCAAAGATAAAGCGGCCTCTCCCAGTCTCACCACAGAAGCTTGGAAAGGCTCAGTTTCAAGAAAGAGCATGGACATGATAGGCACAAGGAAAGTAGGAAGCAATCTTCTTCAGAGCCCTCTGATGGACAATGGTACAGGCACACATATCACGTAGCACACACAGTGGGTGCCTTTCTTTGTACATAGCATTGGCAGATTGCCATGCCACAATGTACAGTGGCGTGGACAGCTTAGACTTTTGAGCACAGCAAGGATTTAAAGCACCAAGGGAGAGGAACGATTTGGAGAAGGCCATCTTCTAATCTGCAGACGAGTCCTTTGCTGCACTTCCGCAGACGTCACATGCAAAAACGCTGAGATCTCGCGTAGTTTCAGTGAGCTCCACTGAGGCCAACCTTTCATCCTGGCGGGCTGCATGTTGGCCCATCCATCCCGTGCATATCTTAGCCGAATGACACCCCATGGGTGTGGGCAATTCGTGGATGAAACTTGGTGAAAGGTATTCGTCGCACGAAGCTGAGCCACAGACTTTGTGTCATGCCTTGTCAGTTGAATCTTTCAGCTCAGCGGAGACACCCTCAGGTGGGCTCTGCAGGCTCATCCTGAGGAAAAGGACAAAGAAAAGGAGAAGGACACGGACACTGTGGCGATTTGTCAAGAGATATCACGCTGATTTGGGTTGCACCTTTTCGAGGTGGCCAAGCAGAGTGCTTCACACTAGTGGAATGTGCCGGTTTATCTGCTTTCATGCAGACATGAATGCGAGCAATTGTGCTGTCAGCGAGCAGACTTAACATAGAATTTGTCACCGGTGTTTGCGCCCAGAGCCTCGGTTGAACGAAAGGATGGAGATAAGACGAAGATAAAGCCCAAGGGCAAACGACGGCCAGCGTGGCTCCACGCGTCTTTGAAAGGGCTGCCGTGATTTTTCTATGGTCTCCTGAGACGCGGATGCAAATTTCAAAGACCAGCCTGTTGATTAGTATTTTTGCTGTGGACATGATGAAGCTGACGATTCTCAAGTGAACGTCTGTCCCAAATGTGTCATCTTTGTCAGAAGTGTTTCCAATGAAAACAGAGCTCGCTCATAGACTATGTTCGAGTCACCGGCTGTCCAATTGGGCGACATCAGTGCCAGGTGGAAAGAACGACATCAGGTCGTGTGGAGCAATGACACACAGGCTCCCAACACTCGCAGCACCTTGACCGATGGGCTCGAATCAGGTTGAATGAAAATTTTTTTTCGAACTTCCCTCGTCCATCATTTTTATAACCCTCTTTGTGTGGTGTGCCATTTTGCTGTTCTTGACTTTGATGTGATAAGCACCAAGTGTTCAGCAATGAAGCACCAACCCCAGAGATTGCACCCGCATCCGAGGCTACTTTGGCCGTCCTGTTGACAAAGGCACTGTCTGTGTGATTCGTGAGAGGGCGCTGCCATTAAAGCACAATGGATTAAAGATGCTGAAAGACATTGACCAGACATATGACTCAACTCAAATGAGTGCTGAACAATCTCATGATTTGAGGGGGACCGCATGATGGATGCCATCACACGTTTTGACTCCTCGCAGAAGACAACCCGGCGGTGCCCCGTCGGCGTCTGCGACCCACTTGGCGGTTGGAAGTCGAGGAGGAGGAGAGCTCGGTGAAGGTGGGGTGGAGTCAGCTGGATCGTCTGGTGGGCTGGTTCTGGGCTGGATGAAAACAGTTCTTGCCAAGGTTGTAAAAATGGGCCACAGGGGTTGTGTCCAGGTGTGAGAATAGATGAACGATGAAGGGCACATGTCTTCGCACAGATTTTGTGGAACAGCTTCCAGTTTTGGCATTTTTCCTTTTTTTTTTTCTCAAAGGCCTACCAGATCTTCAATGCCGCTAGTGCTTCCTGGAAGGACTCAGTGTCGGTGGTTGTTGGCAGCTCAAACTTTAGCTCCCTTTTTTTGGGGCAAAGATATATCCTCACACAGATGTTGTCATCGTGTCCATTCTAGCACAAGTCTTCAGGATCCCTTTCGGCGACTACAGCTACAGCAGCAATATCTTCATTGGGCTACAGCAGCTACATCTAGGAACCAAATGACTAGCGTGAGCTATCCGGAGTCCTACCTAGGACCTAGGAGCGTTCTACTTAATAGCTACTAGCTAAGTTATTAAGTTAGCTACCTTTTCTGGCGGCCTACCCCCCTCTGGCTAAAAAGAAAAACATGTATCTTGCGTCCACGTTTTCATTTCTTCCCTTCCAGGAGCAGTCTCAATGGGTCATGCCGGATGTCTCCAAATTGGTCGATGCCATGGGCTCCGCGAGTCCTCCTGAAGCGTCTCCGTGCCCTGGCTGTGCTGTGATACTGGTTCAACCAGGAGCTTACTACATAGCAAGAGGATGCCTGGGATAAACCACTCCTGCGGCAAGTGGTTGCCACAATCCCAGCAAAGTAGGCTCGCGCAACCTCTGTATTCGCAAAAGGCTCCAGGCTGAGTGTGGCAGCATCTGCTTGCCAGACATTGCCCAAGAGTATAGATATCAATGATGATAGACAAGTTTGGAGACATTTTTCAGTTACCTTCGCTCCCTCTTCGCCTGCTCTTTTCGATCCAATTGACTCCCTAAGTCGGCGTCAATTGACTCCCTAAGTCGGCGTCAGTGGTGGGGTACATCTTTTGGTCCGAGGCCGGGCTCCTTCGGACCACGGGACGTGCCTGAGCCTCCCAACCCGGAGAAGTCCGGGACACCGAGAGAGTGGACTGCTGAGATGCACTTCCTCATGTTCAACCAAATCGGCTCTCCAAGTGAAAAGCCATATCGGAGTTTTAACAAATCCAAGGTGTGTTTGAAGTCCAACCTCTTGAGGTCCAAGCGCAAAATGCAGCAACCCACCTGAAGGCTTAGAGACAATGAAGACAAGAAAATGTCGATCTGAACAGAAACGCTTGACATTCTCCTGCCCACTTCTACGATTTGCCAAGGGGAAATCATTTGGCGAAGGCGGTGAAGGAGCCACCAAGTACAATGTTCTTTGTTTGCTTGGAGAAGGATTATTGAATGCATTCCGAGCATGAGATGGTTGGTGTTTTAAAGTGGAGTTTGTTTCCAAAATTCCCAAAAGACAACACCTCTGCTTGTGATAGCACTTGCTGCTTGCACAGTGTAGATGGCTGTGACTGTGACATGAGCACCCGTCAGCAGAGCCGACCACCAACAAAGATCTTACTTGCAGGAGGCTCGCAAAGAGGCTGCAGCACAAAGGAAGAAGGTGGGCGGAGTTGTTCCTGGTGGATTTCTGGTGATTTCTTATGGCCATACCATGCCAATATATATATATATATATAACGAAAGCCAGCCGATAGGCTAGGCTTGAGCTTTTAGAGCGAACGAAGTGAGTTAAGGGGGTGTGGGGGGGGTGGTCGTTGAGGGGACCTTTTGAGAGGGTAAACCCAGAGCTTGGTGGGGGAGCGCTCCAAAGCGAGGGTCAGAAAAGCACTGAAAATGGGGTCTGGTGATGCGAGTGATGCAATGGACGCTGGGCAGTGCATCACAAGCATCCTGAGGCTATTTGGACAATGGGCATTAAGCAATCGAGTGGAGACAGGGGCCCACGTACAGAGCAGACTGTAGGATACGAGTTCCCAGCACAACCCGTAACTCGCGAAATCCATAGAGAGCCGAAAGTGACATGAGCTCAAGTCCATGAATTTGGATTGAGTTTCGGTGGAGGTGCCTGCGAGGTTGACTGCATATCCGCATAGGGTTCCTGCCCCCTAGCAAAAACTATACTTGCACCATGTCCTCGGTCGAGTGGATGCTTCTCGCGGCGCCCAC